GGGCCTGCGGCGCTGCCGGGCGCCCGCAACGCGCGGCCGAGGCGCGAAGGTGTTCGGGTGTTCTGAAACTTCCCTCTTTCTTCTCCTAGAACTGAAACTCGGTAAGAAAGTTAACGAAGGTAAAACAAAGGAAGTGTACGAGTTGCCAGAGATCCCGGGATGCGTCTTGATGCAGTCGAAAGACCAAATAACAGCAGGGAATGCAGCCAGGAAGGACCGCATGGAAGGGAAGGCTGCGATTTCCAATACAACGACTAGCTGTGTGAAACTTCCCTCTTTCTTCTCCTAGAACTGAAACTCGGTAAGAAAGTTAACGAAGGTAAAACAAAGGAAGTGTACGAGTTGCCAGAGATCCCGGGATGCGTCTTGATGCAGTCGAAAGACCAAATAACAGCAGGGAATGCAGCCAGGAAGGACCGCATGGAAGGGAAGGCTGCGATTTCCAATACAACGACTAGCTGTGTGTTTCAGCTGCTCCAAGAAGCAGGTCAGTATTTTAAAAGGAAAACGAATCCCTTTCTGTTGCAGAGACTCTTAAACAGTATTGCTTGGAGAGCCTTGAGTGTGGTTTTTTTTTTAAATTATTTTCTTATTAGGGACTTTTTTTTTTGTATTTGCTGCTAATAAGCTGAGTGTCTTAACCACTGAGAACTCAAGAGTCTGAAGCAATCTTCCATCACAGATAATGTTACTATACTTTGTCCTACACGATTAGTCACACTCTTACATTGCCTCCCCCCATGCTCATTTCAGCCCTTGCTTTTATTGGGTATATTAACAGATTGACTGCATCTCATCTTTCTTGCTACATCTGTTTATTTAGAAGCCACTGCTAGGTAGTGGTACAATCAGGTGACATCTAAAAGTTACTCCTAAGTAAATTCTGCACCACACTTCCAAAAATGGAGTCAGTATCTTCACTTTAAGGAAAGCATTTTGAAGTGTCTTTTCCAGGAAAATAGACAGTATGCAAGTTGTAAAGAACCTGAACCGGTAGGTTCCCAGCTTGAGTCTACAAACAGTGCTGTAATGTAATAATAGATTTAAGACAGCGTTCATAGCTGCACTTAGTTCATGCATTTGAGCAAATACTGCTTCATGTTGAGTATTGGCCACACACCAAGTATAGTGGTAGATCTCAGATGCTCAAAACACTGAAGCTGTAGCATGCTTCATAGGTGGGGAAGAGAAATGTTTTTCCTAGAGTTTCCCACCTGTACTTATATGCTAAAATAAGCACTTAGATTAAGCTAATTTGCCAGCACACTTAATGAGGAAGGAGGAAAACATGGTCAGGTTAAGAATAATCCTCAAACAGTAGGCTTTCCTAGAAAGCATATTTTGCCTAGACTACAAAGAAATCTCCTGAGATCTTTCCTGTTTGTGATTACTTTTTACATATTTTTAAATGAATTTTTATTTTGAAGCAATGAATAAGATTTTTTTGCCTAATTTTCATATGCCTTTATTTTGTAAGTCAAATTTAAGATTTAAAATCTTAAGAATGGTAAGAAGCTATGCTGTAGACATCTCAAAGAGCTTAAAATGGCTCTTCCTGAGGAACTTTAGGTGCTGTGGAAATTCCTATGCAGAATAAACTGCAGCTGCCTTTTAAAACAACGAAAGTGCCTTCAGGTTTTTTCCCCCATCTTGGTTAGCATAAATAGCAGATAACACTAACGCTCTATTGTAGAAGCAGTTTGTTTGCTTTGCGCAACTTCTCTTAACCGTTTTTCCCCTCCCCAAAGGTGATGATTTACAAAGAGTTCTGTTAAAGTTTGTCTTGTTTGCAGTGGAACTGATGTCAGCACTTCTAAAGCACACATCTGTGATGATGAAAAGTGCAGGAATAAACCAAGTAGGGGGCTTGGTGACCTCTGGGACAGTGGAGTTGCATATGAAAATTCAGTGTTCATATTGTATTTTAAGTATTTTATTTGCTCTTCCTCTTTTCTATCCCTGAAAGTAGAATGAAGTGCAGATATCCTTGAATTGCCTGGCTGCATCTCCTTTGTGCTCTGCTTGTGGCAGAGGTCACTGGGGCTTGGCAGTTGTCTTGCCCTGAGGGGCTGGGATGAAGGCTGCAGGACTCTTATCACTTCTCAGGAATGGGAGAAGAAAGAAAATTCCTGCTAGACTTGGAATGACAATGGGCCCATGCTGGTCATCACGGGGTTTAGTGTGGAGCATCTTAGAATCCTGTAATATTGAGACAATATTGTTGCTTTTCTGCAGCGAGTTTGAGTGCACATATACCTCCAAGTCTTAATGTCTTTTGTTAAACGAATCACTGGGATCCTGTGGCCTAAATAAATGCTAGTTAGTAATGAAAGAAAGGACTAAGTTCTTTGACCCCTCCTTTAAAAACAAATCAGTAAAGACTATCATGCTCCAAAGTTTTGCTGCTCTAATTGCTGTTCAGTGAATGATGTTACAGTCAATAGCCCTTCTGCCAGAGAGTATGGTGAGTTACCTGGTTGTTGCTGTTATTCTTGTTTAAAAAGAAGCTATTATGAGGGATGAACTGTTTAAAAAGCCTCTGAAAAATCTACTTTTTTTTTTAATCCAAATTAAATCAGATTTATCTATTAAATGACAGTTGTGTCAGGGTACATGAGAGAAGGAGGCCTCTTAGTCTGGCTAAATGGAATTACTGCAAGAAAAGGATGTCTGATCAGAGCACAAGTTTGAGTTGCATGTAGTCTTGAATTTTAGAACTGCTGGAGCTAATGAGCAGTGAAAGGTAACAGTAGTGATGTTCTTTTACAAGATAAAAGAGCAGAAAAATCCCCTCTTCTTTCTGGAAGCTTTAAATGCCCTGAAGAAGTTTCTGGTATCCCTTAAGTCCAAACAGGAGCAGGATTTGATTTTGTTCTACTCGTAGTTAGACAAAGGTGTTTCTGCTTTGCTTCAGCTGTGGAGTGGGCATAGTAACAGAACTGAGTTTTCTCCTTTTTATATTTAGGAATCAAAACAGCTTTTGTCAGAAAACACAGTGACACAGCATTCATAGCAGCTCACTGCGAAATGATCCCAATTGAATGGGTGTGCAGAAGAATTGCTACTGGCTCCTTCCTCAAAAGAAACCCTGGTGTCAAAGAAGGATATAAGTTTTATCCACCCAAAATTGAGATGTTTTATAAGGTAAGTTTCCTTTCCTATGACAATCAAACAGAGCCAGAAGTCTTCAGCATCTCTTTAAAAATACTGACAAGTAAAGCAGTAGCACCAGAGGTTGCCATCCTTTTGGTGTTGGTAGTTTTGCCACCCTAACACTTTCTTGTAGTCTCTTTCCAACAGCTCCCTCTTTCAAAATGTGTATGGTGTGACATTGGCACACAGGGCCACCAAAGAACAACAGATTTCTAATCTCAGACTTTCTGTTCAGAAAGTAGATAACTCATTTCTGATTATCAGACAAGTAACACCTCATTTCTAAAGCATAGAGGCTTCTTAGAGAAATATTCTCAAAGTGGACATGCTAATGTATTTGAAGAATTTAAAGTACTTGCAAGCTGGCTGTAAGTGGATAGCTAATTCTAGAAATATCTCTGTGTTTCAGAAAGGTGTGCTGAAAGAAGTGTCTTGTAAACTATGATCTAAAAAGTGTTTCTGTAGTGTAGTGGATCACTCCTGATGCACTATTCAAACTGAGAGGAGTTTTAAAAGTTGTTTACGGGTTACAGGAAGTGTTTTGATGTTGTTACTTAGCTTCTATAGGTAGAAAATACCAGTTTGAAACTTGTACCCGTAGAGTTCTTTTTGTAATTTAATATTGTCTTCTAATGCTTATCTCTTTCTCTTATAGCAAGCTTAAACTACATGCAATTATCCCTTTCTTAACAGGATGATGCCAATAACGACCCACAGTGGTCTGAGGAACAGCTCATAGAAGCCAAGTTCTGTTTTGCTGGACTTACTATTGGACAGACGGAAGTGGATATTATGGCACGTTCTACCCAAGCTATTTTTGAGATCCTAGAGAAGTCATGGCAGCCCCAAAACTGCACCCTGGTAGACCTGAAGGTATGAGGGAAAATACGATTCCTCATGATGTTGAGTCTGATGGGACATATTTGTCAGTTTATAGTTCCTAAAATACTTTTCTCTTTCAGGTTGAATTTGGTGTTAATATTCTAACAAAAGAAATCGTTCTTGCCGATGTTATTGATAATGATTCATGGAGGCTGTGGCCAGCAGGAGACAGAAGCCAGCAAAAGGACAAACAGGTAGTGTTTTTAATCTTCTGAGTTCGTTGGAAAGAAGAAAAAAGTAAATCCTAGAGTTAAGCATCTGTTTTTAGAACATCTCTTTTCTTGTCTTCCCTTTTTATGTTGTAGCTCATAAGGCGCTGAGCATTCAGTCCTGTTCTCATGATATATTTGGGAAATCCCAGTTGTTTCTTTAGCAGAAGATAATCCTGTGCCTATATACTTTTTAAATAGGAATGCCCAACAGCAATTTCCTGGAGCTATTGTGATGAACTGCAGTAGAGGTAGTAGACTTGGTGTGCAGATAACAAAATAACTGGGCAGTAAATAGATAGCAAGGACAGAAGAAGCTCTCGTTTTCAGATCTGGCTTGGAACTGCTTCATTTAGACTTGTAGCAATTAGACTTGTTTGATAAACATCTCTCAATTACTAAATAAATGGTTTGGAAGTGCTGCTGCTGTGGAGCTTTTGTGACTATTCTTGAGCCTAAGAACAGAGACCCTATGAGAGAAAGTGGCTCTAAGCCCTAAGGGGAAAGAGAGCTGCTATGGTTATTGCAGCCTAATTAAATTAGGAAGCAGTACTGCTCTACTGCTTGCTTTATTGCATTTGCTGAATTGCACTGTAGCATGCTTGAGCCATGCTGTGCTCATCTCCCTACAATATGGTGCCTCACTGGGTCATGCAGAACCTAGGTCAGCTAATGCAGTGCTGCTGCAGGCAATAATGTTGTTATGAATTCCAGTGTTGAGACGGCTGAATGGGTTTCCTTAAATCTGTCTTTCAGGAAGCTGCCAAAACCTTGATGCACCAGTGGCTAGAAGCCTTCTGCATTACAAATGGCCATATAGCACAGCCATGCTGCAGAAAGTTGTGCACCTGCTGAGAGCTTTTTCATTAAATAGTTATTGTTTCTTGTAGTTCATTCCTCACACTTATTCTGGGAAGAAAATAGCTCATCCAAAAGCTCATTCCTACATGTGTATTGCAGTTCTCCTTCCTGAGGAATTACTAAAAACTGCATAAACATTCCAGTTGAGGCATTCCTATAGATTATGGTAGCAGAGTACTTTATGTACCTAAGGAAAAGCACTAACTTTATTGAATTTTTTTGTTTGTTTCTTTTCAGTCTTACCGGGACCTAAAGGAAGTTACTCCTGAAGCACTGCAGATGGTTAAGAGAAACTTTGAATGGGTTGCAGAAAGAGTGGAGGTATTTATGTGTATGAACAAACTAGATAGAGTTTGGTAAGTGTATGTTTGGTAACTGGAGTCCTGCTGACTGCTTTTTTTTTCCCCCTTGTCCCCTTAACTTTTTTACCCAGCTGCTTCTGAAAACGAAGAGCCAAGGGAGAGTTGTGGTATTGATGGGATCTCCTTCAGACCTTGGTCACTGTGAAAAAATCAAAAAGGCCTGTACCACCTTCGGGATCCCTTGTGAGTTAAGAGTGACCTCTGCACACAAAGGGCCAGATGAAACTCTAAGGATCAAAGCAGAATATGAAGGTAAATGCCAAAAAAAAAGTGGTTCGAAACAGTAACACGTGTGAGAACAATTTCTCCACTTAAGGATTGCTAGTAGTTTTCTCCCCTGTTCTCCTAGCACAACAGTAAGCTGTTATAATGCTGTTTAACAAGTAGTTTTCTAAGTAGTCTATAGGTACCTTGCTCCATAGTTGTTTAGTGTATTGTCCTATGCCCAGCCACAGCTGCTATCAGTGAAAGTTGAATCTCTGCTTTTATCCCAGTAATTGAGCTCTCCCTCCACACCCCTCCTAAACCTTTATTCCAGAATCTTGTTACTGACTTTTGCTGTTTCTGAAACAGGGAAGAGTGATAGTTTCTGAAGCTGACTCTAAATAGTCCTCTTGAGAGATGCTACTGAAATTGTCATCCTACTTTTTTCACAAAAACTTGCTTAAATACTGTTTTTAGATGTCATGAGAAAGATATTAGCTAAAATTCATATTTATATTGAGAAGAGAGAATAAATAATTTATTTTTGTAGAAATATACTTTTACAGAGAACTGGCAGATGGGGGTTAACGAGGCAATTAGTGAAATGACAGATGTGGTAGTCTAGAGACACGTAGAGGTAAGTTGCTTGCTATTCTATAGTGTGCAAATACTCTATCTCCATCATTTTAAAATATTGTTTAAAATCTGTAAAGTTAAACAGCACTCGGACGCTGAGACTTTCTGCTCAACACAAGTAGAGTAAGACGTGCCAACTTCCTAATTTTGTTAAACACAACTAGGATTTTAAGCTGGAAAATTGACGTTCTGCAAAGGGGAAAGCTAGAAATGAAATTCTGCACTATACTATGTAATTTACTTGAATAATTGCTAACAGAAGAGCAGGTGCCCAGCTGGAGTCCCCCCAAAAGTATGTGGGAGAGGGAAGGATGGGTCGTTTACCTCCGCGTGCTCCTGCCTTCCAGGAGATGGAGTCCCCACGGTGTTTGTTGCCGTCGCTGGCAGAAGCAATGGCCTGGGGCCGGTGATGGCTGGGAACACTGCTTACCCCGTGGTCAACTGCCCCCCGCTCTCAGCTGACTGGGGGGCCCAGGACGTGTGGTCTTCTCTGCGGCTACCCAGCGGTAAGGTGGTCTTTGGCTTACGCCCTGGTAGTGACCTGGCTCTGTTCCTCATGTAGATACCCCTGCACGTGTGCACAAAAACCACACACGGCAAAACACTCTTTAGGGCAGTAGCTGGATCAGTGCTGAAAAAAGTTATGTCTTGCATACAATCCTTTGCACTTTTTGTAGTCAAGAAGCTAATGGAAAAAAGGTTTCATGTTCAGATTATGCACATTACTTCTCAGAAAGCTGTAATCCTTTGCTTATTCTTGCTAAACACACAGTTTGTGAAGCTGGAGTTGGTATTAATGAAGCAGCCCTGGTAGGAATGAAGTAGTAGAGCATGTGCCCCTGTGGCAGCTATAAAACTTGACTGTTACCCTGCTCAGTCCCACGGCCCCTGGGAGGTTTAAACAAGCTTTGTCCTAAGTTGCTGTCGAGAAGGGGTTCTTTGTGACTATAAAAGATGTTTTTTGCTAAGTGGCAGTTGTCCTTCTTTGCAGGTCTTGGCTGTGCTACTACTCTGTCACCTGAAGGAGCTGCTCAGTTTGCTGCCCAAATATTTGGGTTAAATAACCACTTGGTATGGGCAAAACTGCGATCAAGCATGTTAAATACATGGATCTCCCTGAAGCAGGCAGACAAAAAACTGAGAGAGTGCACCCTGTAAGTCGAGCTAATAAATAACTTATACAAGTTACATGGTGATGGTGTGCACATTTGTATTAGGATTTATACTTGGGTGAGATGAAAAATACTTTATCCTTTCTTGTAGAAGAAAGCATTATTAGCTAAGTTTGCATCTTCATCCTTCTTTATTTTTTAATATACCATAGTGAAAGATGAGGGAGTAGTATTTTCTTTCTTTTTATTGCTCCAAAATGGTGCTGCTCTGCCTTTTAATGTATACAGTTAACTACAGTCTCTGTTTAATGTCAGGATAATGATTTGGTGTGATCTAAGAAGAATTTTACTTGTTTTCAGTAACACTACTACTCTACTGTAGTAACAATGCTGAGTGAACATTAGACTAACAAAAGACTGAACATATTGACTGCTAATGAAAACCAGTGTTGATGCTGTTTTGTTTGCAATGAAGGTATGCTTTCTTTAGCAATAAACTGGTACCATATCCTATACCACTAGGAAAATAAGCTGGAAAAAAATGGTGAAAGACTAAATTACCTGCCTTAAAGCCTATCACTATTTTCTGGAATGATATGTTAGAAGTTCATGCTGGTTTTCTTATTCATGACAGGCCATAAACCTAAACAATCTTGATTCAGACTAGGTTTGTTGCCGAGCTGCTCTGGCTATAGCCTCTTATAAAAACCAGGCAGATCTTCTTTTTCTGGATCTGGAAGACCTATGCTATTGTTAAATTGCCTTCATTTACTTAACTGTTATGTATCTGTATTTCCTCATTTTTTATTTCTATGGAGATTTTATTGAAGGTGGGAATAAATAGTAAAGCAGCAAAATAGTAGGGGAAATGTAAGCATGCCTGTCTTGGTGTCTTTGCACATACAGCTCTTCTGTTACCCAGGTACTGATTTAATAAATAGGCAGTTACTCCTTGTATGTAACTTGTGCTTTTATTTACAGCTACAAATAAACTACTGTATTTAACACTTCATATGGAGATTTATTGATCAAGTATACCAACTAAGCATCAGCAGTATTATATTTTGTTATATTCACAGTCTTAAATATAAGTTGGGTGGGCTCAGACTCTTGTAAAAAGCTTACCTGAACTAAGGTTACATAGGATGGTTCTAAGTGACACTATCTTCTAGAAAAGATACTCTAGTAGTAGGTTATTTCTATCAGAGAAAGCTCTGTTACTTCCTTCACAAAACAGTGTCTTACTGTTTGTGGTGTGGGTCAGGTTTACCCCTGAGTGAGACTAACTGGACTAAATATGGCTCCTGGCTTCCTTACTTATGATCACTTTCTGTATCATATGTGTAGTTGTACAGCACACTTCTGAGCAAAGCTCTTTTAAGTACATTTAAGTGTGTCTAACCTTGTACTAAGGCAATGTGACCAGAACTTCTCACTTTTGAGGGATTTTTGCCTTTTTTTAAACTGACCTTTCCCCTCTTGTGTGTTCTTGATGAAACATAAGGCTGCTCTGAGCAAAATCACCTTCTTTCCCTGTACTGCACCCATGCTGTGCAACACTCCAGCACCACCAAGCTAAATGAAGGACTTAAGAGAAAGTTAAAGCAACTCCTCCCTGAGCTCTCTGAAGTCATACTGATGCTGTGGCAGCACTTAAATGGCTGCAGCTACTTCTCCTAAGCTCCAGTGAGAGCTCCCAGTAATGCAAATAATAGTGCAGGTTACCTGGTTGTTAACACCTAAATGTTAGGTGAGAATACTTTGTGTTTCGGAAGTCAAGGATGCTGCTTAAATAAGAGGCTGCTCATAAAAGAAACTTTAAAAGTGTTAACCTGTGTTACAGCTACTACCTAGCTGTAACAATTTTATAACATTACAAATCCTTTACAACAAAGAAGCTGAAATTATAATGTTTCTGTGGAAGTGACTGACCTTTAACATCTTTCAGTGTTTGCAGCTAGCAGGTCATGCGTGTTGCACTGACCTACATCCATCAGCTGCATCCACTTGAAAATGTGCTCAGTGGGAGCCAGTTCTCTTAACAACATACTGCTGTTTGCTGTTAAACATTAGGAAAAGAAATGCAAAAAGAAGTGAACTTGTGCTCTTTCTTAGGTAAGCGAGTTGGATCACTCTGTAATGTGACAGGCGGCAGAGCCACCCACTGCCAAGGACAGTGTCACCCTGGCTAAGCCCCAACAACACGTACCCTGCAGGTGAAGTTACACAAGAGGGGAGGTGTTGCTTCCACTTCAGCCAGTTCTTCCTGAGCACAGCTGCATGGGGAGGTGTCTCACAGTTAACTGACCTGACAAGAGCTTCCTGGTGACTTTGCCCCTGGAGCACCACTGGGATCCAGACAACTTAAGGCAGCCCTTTGCTTCTGGGGTTTTCTTTCTCCTTCACAGTGCTTTGCTATATCACCATCTCTCTGCAAAAGGTTACTAACAGCCAAAAATGTCTGTTACAGCTCTTAAAGTCTGCAGGCTGTTACACTTGTCATGTTACTTGCAGCTTGTTCCAGTTTTGCAAGTGCCGTGAGAGTAGTTGTGCTCAGGCACCAGCGTCCTCGCCGCTTTGCTTGTGCGGGGAAGGGAACGCTTCAGCTTGCAGTGCTGCTCTCTGCAGTCTGGCAAGACAAAAATACTCTTCAACTCCAAGCCAGGTCTCACAAAGAACAGGAATTTAGAACATGCATCACTAATGCATTGGAACATGCATCACTAATGTCCATTGCCAGGAGCAGCAAAAAAAAAAAAAAAACTGCAAATCTGTCAGAGGTGCAAGAACTTTATAAAGTTGCCCCAAATGCAACATTGATGCAGAGCAGCTGTTTTGTTGTGTGTAATGGGAAGCTTTTTTTCCCCCAAAGTTTTTGCTATGGAAGGAAAATGCTTCCCCTCAGATCAGCACTCCATTTACTACCCTGTGGCAGTAACCCAAGCACTTCTTCAGGCAGGAATCACTTGTATAGCATTTCCTTTTTCCCTCCAGTTCCAAAAATTGCCCCTATTTTTTTTTTGTGCCTTCATCCTCACAAAGATGAGGATATAGAGAGGTTAAATGAGGTCTTAGGAGAGGATGTGATTTAGTATTTAATAGTAAGGCAGTCCCTGTTTTTTTTTTTTTTTTTTTTTTTTTTTTTTTTTTTTTAAGAGAAACATGCAAAACATGCAGTTCTTCCCCCACTAGAGGGGGCATTTGAACCTTTTCTTACAGCTATGATTGCTTTCATTGCTTTTCAGCAGTGGAATAGAGTGAAAAGGAAGTCTTTAGTTTTTAAAGTAAGATCAGAGTTGCTTATTGCTTGTGACTGCAGCAGGGTGGGGTGACTGGAGCCCAACAGGAGCCCTTTTCAGAGCCTACCTGCCCATTCAGACTTCCCCAGGCTTCCACTTAAGAATGAGAAACTGAAGTTCTGGTTTCAGCTAAAAATGAGGTATAATTTTTTTTTTGAATAATCAACATGTTTCTAGTACAAAAGGAGAAAATTAAAATTTCATAGAGCTTCCCGCAAAGTTGAAATATCTCTATTGCACATCACAGTACATCTACGTAAACATTTCTATTTAACCCTTATACTTTCAGGCTTAAGTAGTTGCATCCAGAACTCAGACCCTCCAAATCCTTGTGCAATTGCTACTTGAGATGAGAAAGACTGAAAGCCCCTAGGTTTATATTTTTGGCCATAAAAATCCTTCCCCCTTCAGGGACTGCCGTTGTGCTTATACTGAAACCTCTTAGCTCTTGACAGACAAAATACCTAAGCTCCTTATTCATCTAAGCCTCATCAGGCCACACAGACTTAAGTGCATTCCCAGAGCAAAACCATTCACTCAAAATCATTATGAAAGAGAAAGACTGTGTCAGTGAGAACAGTAACCCAGGCAGAAAGGACAAAACCCCTCCTTTTGTCTCCCTTCCTAAAGGAAGGCCTTCAACCACCACTGGCAGTTGGAGAGATCTCAATTTCCCCTTTTGGTGCTGTTTCAGTTTATTCCCTGTGTATGCAAACACAGCCAGACCACAACCACACACCTAGATCTACTGCATAAGACTTAATAACAATAGTGGGAGCTTGGTGGAGTATTTAATTCCATGAAGTATGCCCTGGTAAGTGTTGGAAGTGCAGACACAGAGAAGCAGAAGATATGTGGTTTCCAATAGAAGGTAAAGCCCAAAACTTCTTGGAGAAGGAATCAGTATTTGCACGAACTCCTCACAGAAGTCACAGTACAAGAAGATTCAATCGTAGTAGCTTTTCCTGTCCTGATGACAGACACCCTCCCAGGGCAGATAACAGCGTGGGAGAAAAGCAGACCAGCACGTGAGTTGTTAAAAGTTCAACAGCTGCCTGAGAGTATCAAGCATCAAGCTCAACTCTTTTCAACAGATTATTATACAAAAGAAATTAATTGTCTTCTACAGGAATTCTAAACATTCAAATACCCAATTTTAATCTAGCAAAGGCAATAGGTTAGAGATGCCATCAAGTTGGCGGGGGGCAGAGAACAGCATCCTTCTTCATACAGAAAGACCAGGCATAAGCAGAGCACGTCTGGGCATTCGTATGGTTCAAGCATCAAAGAAGAATGAGGGAAGGAAGAACATGAGAGCAGAATCTACACAGCAGAGAAGGGGAGTGCGCTTCGTGGTGAGGCAGGCGAGCTAATCCGAGACGGAAGGAGCCGCCGCATCCACAGGGACAACATTGCAGCCACAGGGTAACTAGGAAAGCTCTTCCCTCTCGCGCATTAGGAAAGTTCACAGACAGGCTCCTGTCCAAGTATCAACTGAGACAAAGCTCACTTTTGTCTCAAGTCACTGACAATATCTTGCACAGCCCCTATCATTTCCTCTTCTTCCTCAAGCCAGTTATATGAAATAGTTACTACAGCTATATCAGTGTACAGCTCAACGGGGCAAAAGAATAAAGTATATTCTAACAATGACAGGACTGTTTCAGAAGCACTGTCCAAATGGATTAGTCAAATACACACTTCTTGTGGGTATGGAAGCGTAAAATAGCTATCAAAGAGCACCCAACAATTCAAAATGCTATGTACAAAGTGTAGCGTGGTTTCTCTCTGCCGGATATGTAACAAAATATCTATGCCAAAATGCAGTTGCTGTTCTGTGCCATTACGACTGCACGAAGTGATAAAGTCTTACCCGCAAAACCAACCCGGAGAATCCCAACTCAAGCTCTTTCCTCTCCACACACAATGTCATATCATTCCCAAGTGCTGCTGCAATGATCATTTGTGTGGGATAATTATTGGACAGTAGTACTTAGTCATAATGCAGTAATAATCACAGAATTTTTATTTGTCTTAAGGGTATTCTACACTAGAGGCAGAACTTCTATATTCACAGAACCATCCCAACCAACTAATACTTTCTTATCTGTGCTTATAGTTAATTAATTTTTATTTAAAAAGGTAAAATAAATATCTTCAAGCAGACTCGGGAATATTCCATTCCAAAATTAAAGCTTTTACCAAGGAAAAAGCATCTATCACAACATTAGCCGGATATCACAAGCCTGGCTACAGGGATATTGCAACTGCCCTTTCCCTGCCAAGAAAAAAAAAACCAAAATCCTGTCACTAGATCATTTAAGGTGATCACAGTCGCACCACGATGAAGTTTCTAATTTTGTTAACATGCTGGACCAGAAAAGTGGAGGATCTCCTCTCTTTTACTCCTGTGAGGCCAATGGTTCCCAAACATTAACCCAGGACTTTACTCGTACCTTAAATAGTAAGGGGGAATGTTTACCTTGGCTAGAAACCAGCTCTAAAAATAATCCAACAGACTTTGAATTGCCTGTAATACCTAAGGCCTTAGACTCCAGATAGGAACAAGTCAGGGATGTGATTATCAAGCCTGGCAAATGCTTAACTGTTCTGCAAGGACAGTTTCCCAGAGAAGTTTTGTGAAAGGCAAACACCTTGCCTCAAGCCACCTGAATGTAAAGACAGGAGAAACAAAAATAGGACCGAAGCAACAAATGTGTCTGACCAATCATCAGACAACTGCGATAGTCCGAGCGGGTTGTGTACATACCACTGCAATCAGGAAGTGCCCACAGCCTTGATCTAGGTTAAGCAGCTGCTTCTGGCTTTAATTAAGATCCCAAAATAGAAGCATATGGGAAATGAAAGTTATTTTTAGTTCCTGGTAAAGTTAAAAATATTACAAACTTTTAGCTTTTATTGAAAATTAAATATATTAGCAAAAGCAAGATTTAAGAAATACTTTACAAATGATTTACATACAAGAAAGCCAGTATCAGACATATTCACAAATATGCAAACTTTTAATTACAAAAAGTACCTACTGGCAGCATGATGCTAACCTTGCCACTGCAGTGTGCTCTACTATTGATATGAATAAGGCATAGAACTCACAGTTGCACCAACTTAAAAAGTCCAAAGAAAACTTTAAGCTTTAAATCCTGGATGCACAATCCCCAATATACACACACACACACTCTAAAGTTTTTCCTTAAAGGCTCTAATACACTAAGTGTGTGCTCTGGAAGAACAGACAGCTTGAAAAGCTTAGTAAAAATAACTGGTACTGAGGTTTAGTTTTCAGTTTCCTTTTTAACATATACAGATCTAAGTATGTAAACCATAGTCACAGTTTAAATATTTTTAGACAGAAGTTCCTTTTTTTGTGTTTGTTTTTTTTTTTTTTGCATCTGTTCCTTACAATTGGCTCTCAGTTCAGCACACAGTTTAAAGTGTCACCTGCTTTGTGATAACATACATTTACAAGATAACTTAAAAAACCTGTGCCATCTTCATGGTCAATACAATTCAACATGAGCAGTAATATCCAACAGTGACATTCAATACTATGTTTCAATTGTGCAAATAGCAACAGAACAATTGTACGAGGCAAAGTTATTTGCAAAACCTTTAATACCTCTTCAGTGTTGTAAACTTGGGCTGTCAGCCTTAAGTCCTGCACTTCCCACAGCTTTAAAAAGTCAGTGGCTAAAATCATCAAGTCTCAAAATGTTTTCTTCTACATAGTGCAAATTGTAACATAGATAATGTGAAAAACATATCTGGCTGGATTGACTTTGTGCAATTCTCAGTGGTCTCCTCTCGTAGTTGAAGTGCATTCAGGGAACCAAGTGGTTCAGGAAGTTGGGGGCAAGGGAGAAGCAGATCCATGTTACACGCCTCAAACCAGCGCTAGATGTGCAAAGGCAGCAAAAATTCCAGCTGCTACTACAACCAGAAGAGAAGAGCTTCTCAGGAAGACTCGGGCGGTTAATCATTTGGACTGGTCTCTAGAAAAATACGTGAGTATATGCTGGATTTTTATCAGACGGTCTTTTAAAGACATCATAGAGAGAACTGAGAGCTGGTATCTGGGATCTACCGGGAGAACAGCTAGAAGCCACCAACACCAAGCAGGACCATTGGGCATTGCCTAAAAATAAAGGATAAGGTAGTTATTTGTAACTAGTGCACTACAGTTGACTAAGATGATAAAGTTATCAAAAGACAAGGTTGTCAAAGAAATAAAGGCTTAAATTTGATAGCGGCTACAGAATCCCTAATCTATAGAATCAGAGGGATCATAAAGACATACTTGGATCCTTCAACTCAGAAGGATCAGAGTTCTAGAATATCTTCTAGGCTTCCAGAACTGGATGGAAGCCTAGGCTAGGGGGAAGGTAATTGGTGTGTATGCTGTTTTTTTGGGGTTTCTTTTGTTTTTTGAAAAAAAGAAGATAAGGAAGGAAGTTCACAGCTCTCTCAGGAAAGGATGGCTAAGCATAGGACAGTCATCTAATAACTAATCCAGACACAAATTAAATCCATTGCTTGTCATGGTATTCGTGAGGCTTGAATATTGAAACCTAATATTTGCTTTACAATGGCTTTCACAGGATCCTTTCTAAGTGGAGCTCCCTGTGTGATATCTTTTTCCAGCCTCCACTCTCAGGATTTTCACCATCCTCACTAATTGCTTACAATAATCTTTCCTGATTTGCTACAACAAACTCCTTAAGTTTAAGGCAAGTAATTGTCAAATTCTAACAGCTGCAGTTAATGGCACTAGTCTGGAAGGGAGGAAGGACTTATTTGTATCACCTCTTTACCTACGTGTTTCATATGAGAGAAAATACTTCAGCTTTTTCCATTTCAATTCTGATGGCTTTACACAAACCAGCAGTTTAAAATGCTGCTGATACTCAAACTTAGCTCAAACTAGCCAGCTTGCTCTCTTTATCTACCAAGAAGCTTAACATCTTTGCCTGCCGAAACTGTTGAACAGTAACAGAATTGCATTTATTGCTCCTCCTGAGACATGGCTCGAGCAGAAACACAATGTAGCTCTACTGGCTTCTAAGGTGAAGGAAAACTATTTTTAAGCAGTTAGCCGGATGTTTATTTTTGGAACTAAGCAAATCAAAACTGATATTGAATGATGTCTCACCTGTATATTTTCTTCCCTATCAGGCATTGGCCCAAAATGTTGAAGAATTTGAGTGCGGAATTTGTTTCTTAAGTTTTGGAACCAACTACAAGCCTGATTGTAAACAAAATTGTGAAGTTCTCTCAGTTTCTTTAGCTCTTCTTCATTAGCAACCTAAAGGAGGAACGTTAAGAATATATTATGGATAAACAGCTAATTAGTAAAATGTTTAAGCTAAAAAACAAACAAGCAAAAACCCCCCTCCCACATCACGTTTCATTTCAATTGTGTTAATAGAAAAGATTCCCACATTCTTCTTCAACCTTGATTGGTAATGACTGGACAGTAAATATGCCCTATGACATTAACAAAAAGTGTATCCCTTTAAACCTGAAGGCATTGGGATTAAGGTAGGAAAGAAAGCAAAAACAAAAACCAAGTGGAGTACATAAACACAAGAGGAGATCCTGCTTTACTCAAGACATGTTAAAAAAAAAAAAATCAAAGAACTTCTAATGAGAATTCCATTGCTTTGAAACTCAATAAATAAATAAATAAATAAAAGCCAACCCACCCCCCCAGCCAGTACTCCAAATATAAAGTCACTCCTAACAGGATCCAAACTGCCTTCTTTCTGAAGTCACCAAAATATTTTGTCTAATATATAAAATTAGATATATCCAAGTAGTTATAGCTTCATAAACTACTGTTGAAATAATTTTACCTCTTTAAATAAAGAAAATGAAAAGAAGCATTGTATTTTATTATTTTGTAATAAAATTTTCATTTCTTCCAGATGCTGGGACCTGTCTTCCGGTGGTACCTAACCATCTGAAACAGAATCCTCCAGAACATATCAGGCATAAATCTTCAGATATTAACTAATACTAGTAAGTATATGGAAAGCATTCTGTATACCTTAACATCTTCCAAATATTCAATGTCTGCAGTGCAATAACCATCTTTCATCCCTCTTCGTAAAACTCTAAATCTCTTTCCACCAACTGTATCAACAACGGATCGTCCATCAGGTAGAAAATGAACATGCCTAATTTGCAGCATACACCCGTAATCTGCAAAACTAGAAAAAACATCTTGGCACTAACACAACTACACATTCCAATGAGGATTTTTTTTAAAAAAAAATTAAAAGAAGCAGAGCAGGAGCGTGGTACGATGATGCAAACCTACCCATTCTGAGAATCACTTATGCACATCCCAAACTGCTTAGTCCCAGTTTCCATACTCCTGCGAATCATCAGCCGGTATCGTGGCTCAAACACATGTAGAGGGCAAGGCACAGTAGGATATGCCATAGTGCAAACAAACATTGGAACATTCTTGGTCAAGCTTCAGTGAACAAGAAGAGAAACAGGTGGCTTAAAATGCAATCGCTGAACTATATACCAAGACAGCACATTTTTGTATTATGTTTATTAAGTCTGAGGTAGTGAAGTACCTGTACCACAGGGTAAAAGTAAATTATAGCAAGTTCCATAAACAATAAAAAGCCATATTACAAACAATAACAGTGAACAGTTGTGTACTGATTGGAATACATAATGCACAATAACTCTAATAACAAAGAGGTATCTAGTTAGTAAATGACTGCATGGGGTTTTGATTTTAATTTGATACACACACAATCATTGTTACTAAGCCATTACTTGGATTATTTTCAAGGATGGCCTCCCAGGTCAGGAGATGAAAGCCAGGGTATGATATTTACCTGGCAAGTGTCTGAAGTAGGGCCAAAAAATTGAAAAACAAAATGGATTTTCTCCAAGCTTTTCATTAAGTATGCAGTCCACAGTAGCAGATCCATACAAACAAGTTAGCATTAAAACATTATCAGGTATTTAATTTGCTGCCTTCCAGGTAAATTTACATGCCTTCAGAAGTCTATAATGTGCCATTATTAATAGCCACAAAAATGATAAAACATTTCTAAAAATGATTTCCATACTTATCTTTCAAGCTTTCTAGATAAAGACAGCAAGCTTACTTTGAGTGCTCAGCAGTTTCTTCCTCATGAATTCTTTTTCTCTCGCATAACTCATCAGACAGGTATTTCATTATTAATTCTTCTAGCAGTTCTGTGATACAGTATCTCCTGCTTGCCAAGTACTGGAAAAATGGTTTAAAAATGTATTATTATTTCTTATATACTAACACAAAACTTAAGAAAAGATGTAGCTTTCAATTAAAACAATGGTACAAGAAATATGCTAAGGAGAGTTTTAAACTCATGAAAAGCTACAGCTTTGAGCCTCTTACATTTCACGGATTAATGGATTATATTACTCTAATATTTGAAAGTTCTTTCTTTTAGATCTTAATTAGATACAGGAGTTGTCAGACTCTTAAGTTTCTTTTTTTCTAGTAAGCATAGAAAAACAAATGACTTCACAAATTATATAGCCATGTAGAGGAAAAAAAAAAGGGAATAAAAAGGAAAGTTTACAGAAATTACCATCTTTACAGGTAAGAAAGTTTGCAAACACTTAAAATTTGGTGACACCAACAAAGTAGATGATCCCTGAAACACAAAACCTCTAAGGTCCTAAGGCAAACCTGATCAGCTTGTTTTGACAAAGTCTGCCTCAATTTTTTCCCCTTTTAGTAGTAATCCATAACTCAAATGAATCCAAGTTGTTGCTTTTAAGTGAAGCAGCCAATAAGGTATTTGTCTCGAGCAGTTTCCCTGGGAAGCAGTACCTCCTTCAAACTCTCCTTGCAGAGGGGACACTGCGGAGCATGGTCTAAACACCGTTCCAAGCAGCCTTTGCAAAAGGTATGTCCACAAGGGGTTGTCACTGGCTCAAAGAACAGCCTGAAACAAATTATCAAAAAATACACGTTAATTTCATTAAAACATGACAAGGTTGCATTTGGCTAAAAGTCACTGATAACTTCATTAAATCGTAAAAAAAAAAAAGTAGTAAGAAATTGCATAAGGAAGCAAAGAAAAATAACTTCGTGTCTCTTCAAGTTTTTCCCTCTGTGACAGCTTGCTTCCCTTCTAACACTGCACCCCTAATTTTCTTGCTTTCTAATCCATCTCAACATACTTCAGCATCCAAAATATTCAATCATTTATCCCAAAATATAAAGATTTTTGATCCCGTTACATTCAGAATACACAAGATCAAGTGTTTTTTTAAGCGATATTGTTGCAATAGTAATAAACGTACCATTTCCAAAATTACATCCAATTTAACATAGATAAAATATTTTAAGACATTTATTCTGCAGACAAGGACAGCTCAGTAAGAGCTTTCAAATACTTCTACTGCATTTAGGGAGGCTGACATTTTGAAATATCTACATTTCCTGGACAGCTCACAGAATCAGAGACAATTTATCTAAGCATTAGCCTTCTTAAAATAAAAATGTTAAATAGTGTTTTAGCAACTGAAGCAAGACAAATATTTAATTGCAAGACACTGTTGCTCGTTAACACTATTGGATTTAACTTAAAGCAACTTGATTAAAATAATGCTGCATTATACAACATTACAACAAGAGACACTTTAAATAAGCATTTAACTGTTGGGATGGAAAAAGGCTGAAAATTATTCTTAATTGGCATTAGGACTCATGCAACCCATAAATGTCTCTGTTTACATATGTAAAAGATATGTGGCCAAATATCTATAGTTAAAATACTGGATCAAAGAAAACATATTACCTCATGCACAAAGAGCACTCAAAATCTGACACATCAATCAAATTTCCTGGAATGGCTCCATAAGCCAGTGTTGTGTCCCTTTTTGTGTTTTCTGAGGAAAAGAAAAACCAAAATAGTACTTCAAAGAAATGCACAACACAATAAATACTTTAAATTTCAAATTTAATTACTGTTTACCTCCTTGCTTTTTGTGTTTATTTCTTCCATCTTCAAATACAACTGTATCTTGCTCTGAAAAGGAAAGCTTTCTTTTCAACAAAGCACCTTTTTCTTGACCACAGAGAAAGGGTTCAGAAGACACTCTCTTTAAACCATCTTCTCTGGAAAGGTCTTTTGCTGAGTTAAGAGCATGGGCAGATTGTGCACGATTTAGGCTTCCACTGATAGGCTGCAGTATTGCTGATTCTCCTAAACTCTGTAAAAATAAGATAAGCTGAACTATACATATGGAGTAACATAAGCATAAGACACAAACATGTGAGGAAACATAAGCCAAATTGGCATCTGCAGTTAGCTAACGAGAGGAATCTGACAAGTCAGGATAGTACTCCAAATTTGTTCATCTTTAACAAATCAAAAGCCTCCATCTGCTTCAAAGAAGAAAAATCTGTAATTTAGTTTTATTTTGCAGTGCCTAATATCATATCTCAGTAAGTAGTTTACCGAAATGAGAGCCTAATGCTCCAAATGAAAGCACATTACTCCTAGAACACATTTCTGTCCAGCATAGCTAATTACATCAGCATTTAGGTTCAAAAATAAGTATGACAAACGAAGGTATCGGAGCTTATTTGTACATATTAGTGAAAGAAAAAAGTTATCCTGTAGTTTTTGTTACCTGCTCACGACAAAGTTGTAAATTGCAGCAAGACTCAGTCATTTCGGAACCAAGTATAAAAGGTTTATTTCGAACATGTGGTGAATTCCAAGCAGATTCCTTCAGGCGCTCTCCTAAATTTTCTGGTGACAGCACATCACGCAAAGTCTAGAATATAAACCACCCTCTGTTCATAATAATGAAAAGGAATCTAGCTATAGTTTTATTTTTAAGCTATATGTGAAAACCACCAAGTGTTCATAATAATGAAAAGGGATCTAGCTATAGTTTTATTTTTAAGCTATATATGAAAAATAAGAATTTAATTTACAGAAGGTTATCCTCATGAACAGACTTTTACTACGTAACAGCTGAGAACAGTTGAGAACAGGCAAAAAGCTACAAAGCTATATAGCTAAGCAGAGGTTTATCTAAAAATCTTTTGCATTAGAAGGGAGTCACCTCTTCAGAGTTAGCCATTGTCAATTCAATATAATGAAGATTTTTCAATGTAATTTTTTATTATTAAATAAAAGCAATTATGTTTCGAGCATAGACTTCCGCTTGTTTGCACTAAGAATGCTGTCTGCTTTCCAAATTTCTGTATTTTCCTTTAGTAACTTTAAAAGCACAAGTACTTTGGAACATGTGTATTTAGAATTTGTGCACCAGTAAAACCCACTCAACACAATTCAACACATCTTGAAAGGAAGTAATCTAAAAGCCACCAGAACCTCCTCTGTATGCACTGAGGAAGACACCAGGTAATCAAAATCTGCCATAAGGAGAGCCTCATAAAGGAATCAAGACAGAGAGAGAGTAATCCAGTTTGATCTATCAAATTACCTTCTCTACTTCTAGCTTGGCTGGAAGAAAATCCTCATCAAGGGCTAAGCATTGTAGAAATAATTGTAAGGCATCAGCTACAAAGCCAGATTCACGCAGCACTTTTCCTTTTTGGAAGTAGACCTGAGAAACAGATAACAGGACATTTGTAGAGAGTATAAAGAACTTCAGTTTTCAACTCACAGGCATTACACGGAACCAGAATTAGAAGCCTCGGGTACAAAGAGAACATACCCCTTCAGCAACCTCAGCTGTGCAGAATGTGGAACATCCACGGGCCTTCTCTAACTTCAGTTCCCTGTATTATCTTAAAAGAGCTCTGGGATGGGCTGGCATCAACCTCCTTTCAGTGAATTTGTTTTCGTTACACAAAGGATTAAAATACTGACAAGCATTTAATTGACACAAGGCCTTAATTTCTCCTTTCCATAAGCCTTTGGAGGAGGGAAGAGGAACATACCATGGAATTTATCACATTTCCCTGCGTGACAGCTTACCCAGGATACCCTTTTTGCCCTGTGTCATCAAAAGTGTCATAGTTCTGGTCTGAAGGAAAAGAATTAACTATAGACAGAACCAACCATACTGCCAGGCATCCCTTACATGCATTTTAACACACATCTTCAATACAGAACAACGTGCTTTTGCAATTATTTAATCCCTGAATGCTAGGAACCAGTTAGAAAACAAAACGGTTTACTATTTTCTTCTAAAAAAACAAAAAAAGGAGAAAACACCACTGAACGTTGAACCTATACATTATAGGATGTTACAATTAAGAAGTCCCTTATCCAATTCATTTCAATTTTTTAAAAGTTGCATTCACAGTAATAGATAAGAGTTAGATAAAAGCAATACAGTTGTAGGGTGGACAATGGACCAGAAAACTGAATTTAAAATAAATTCAACACAGTTTCTACAGAATAATTCCCCATATTAATGGCAGTCTTTTAAACAAGGTTGTCAGATGAGGGCATGCATTTCTCCTGATGCATGAAGGCAATTTCAATAAGCTGTACCCTGAAGAAGGAAAGTGTGCAAATTCTCCTCTTAGAGAGTGCTCATCTTCCTAGAGAGGCAGGAATCGTTAAGGGAATCTATCAAACTGAGCTCTGTCAAGAGAGACAAGGTTTCCTTCCAGACATAGAAGAGTAAACAATACCACCAATGCTGACATGCAAAGAGAAAAGCAGGAACCTCTTCTAAACGTGAAGAAATCATGTAAGTGTTGACCACAGAAGAACCAAGCAGAAGCAGTTACTCTTATTATCTCCCCTTCCTCAGGGAGGTCTGGCCACTGTGCTGCCATGAGCAGTGTCTTACAATTAAGAGACTCCGCAGCTGCCTGAACTATTTGCAAAGCTCAGTTCCCACTAAGTTCTCTGGGCCTTTCAAGAGAAAGAAACGTCCCAAGCTACAGCAGCAGTGGCCTTATCAAAACGTGCAAGAAGTCCTCCTCTTCCTTCCCCCTCCCTCGCCCCCCCCAAAAAACAAACCAAACCAAAAAATCCAAAGCAACAACAAAATAAAGGCAGACGGTGCAGACTATGTCAGCACAAACTACTCCAACTTAGTACTGGAGCCCAAACATTTTTATTTTTAACCAATACTATTGCAAAAGTACTTAGTATATGTGCCAAATATTTCATTCTTTGGTAACATTTTTTAAAAATTTATTTTTCAATAATAATTTCCTTTTTATATAATACA